AACATCGAACTACACCGAACATAATCCTGGATGTTTTAGCCGCAATGCACGTTGGATGCATATGGATGTTTATGCGCGATATGAAATCGGCAAAACATTTTAAAAAGTGAAATGATTTAATCCGCGAGTGTTCTTGCGCTTTTCTCTTTGGAAGTCAACACTAACGCGCTATTGGTCAATACACGGTTCGCTGCATTACATATTACATTAATCTGCATAGGCCGGCCGCGTGAAGCTCAGGTTTTGGGAAGGGCTAAAATAACATTTTTTTTTTACCCGGCTGACGCTGCCCGCCTCCTGCGCGTCTATAGAAAGGAGATCAACTCAGTGAAAGCACCGCCTGCTGACCAATCAGAGCTCAGTGTGCGGAGTTAAATTTATCAAGTCATATCACAGGATAAAGGAAATACAGTTTAAACTGCCGTATGCAGAGAATCTTATCTGAGTCAGTTTCTCGAGCCGTATCTGGCCGTGCATCACCTACATTGTCACATACTGTATGCAGAAGTATTATTTTAAGCAACACGTAAACACTCAACTCAAATGTAATTAAAGTCAGATCCACTCGTGTCTTAGATGGGGCATTGATATCATAAAACTGTTGTACGCTTTCAAACACTCGGTAGTTATCTTTTAACCAGTTGTTCTATATTCACCTTGCAGGTGGATTATATGTTTAAGTCATGGATGTTTAAAGTTCATATTTATCTAATATTAGTTTACTTTTCATTAATGAAGTATGACGCTGCGTTGTCCCTATTTGTGATTGGTCCAAATGTGCTAACCCCGCCCCTTTCACGTGAACGCGCTCTCAGCTGGAGAGAGAAACCCTGGCTTGATTTACCGACTTGATAACCAGTGACGTATGACCGCTTAGCGAGATCTCGTTTGTTAGGTTTAGTTTAGATAACTCAAACATATCCAGGGTATGTTGAACTGGCTTTGTAGTACAGGGCACAGGTGGCTGCATAGCAGCACTAATGTCAAAGACACAAACATTATACATTATATTTTTATTTTACCAGGATGCAGTGACACAAATATTTGGGAAGGCTTAGCCTTCCCTAGCCTACAGTACCCGCCGCCCCTGCATATCTGCCGTAGATATTTATTTATAGAGCCCTGGTGAGAAGACTTCTTGACAAACTGGAAGGAATGCCGCCGAAACTGAATACGTGATGTGGATCATAAATATATCAGCAATTAAACATCTTCCATTTCTTTTCACACAATACGTCTCCTTGCAGTATCAACACTAATTCGGCTGACTTTTATATTTGATCCAATTAGTAGATAGGCTGTATTTACACCATAACGGTGCACAGCTGATAGAAAGGGATTTGTAGTTTTCAAAGATATTACTTATTTACTGAACTACCTTTCTAACTCCTCATGCAGTTGACTGTTACAGGTCTATACAGGTTCATGGTACAATGCATAAGCTTAAAATCGAGAGACTGAAACTATATTTTCCTTTACCGTTCTGTTTTAATTTCACAATAAAGTTAATAGTCATATTATGTTTGATATTATTATGTTTTATTAACTAGACTACACTTTTTTTTAACCCGCACCACCTAGTGGTTAAAGCACGTTATTGCATTTAGTTGTTAAATATGTTATATTTGATGAAAACATTTAAATATTAAGAGTAGCCTACATACAAAATAGGGGGAAAGTAGAAGGCATGCTAGAAATATAGAATAGAAAATATCAAGAAGATACTGTAGTGATCTCTACAATAAAACAGTTTAGTGCAGGACGTCCACAGATATTAACAGGAGGATGTACAAAACAGACAAACTAATAAGACTTTATTTTAACATTAAAGAATACTTTAAGTTAAGGTCTTCTTTTGAATAAGAAAAAAACGTTGGGGTTATCCACCAACACGTTCTCACTCCCAACCCGTCACATGTTGACGGACGGTCAGGGCCCCTCTCCGTCACTCTATTACGAACAGGGTACCCCTTGAGAGTCAGTTTTCAACGGGCAGGCGGGGAGCATGGAGTCCTGAAACGAGAGGGAGAATTACTTTTCAAAATAAGACAGAAGGCACAGGACAAAGCTAATATAAAGAATAAACTTTCATAGTTAGTTTCCGAGACATGACAACACATACCCGATCACTGACATTGCTGTTTTTGGGATATACCAGTTGTGTTTTTTATGTCGCCCAACCATCCAACTGGCCATGACAGCACTTAAGATGGAATTTTTTTAGCATAACTCTTGTTTTTTTTAGCATAGAGGACAGACAACTTTAACTCAACTCGTTAGACCTAAGAACATGATGCTGTGTCCTTCCCCTAGGGCATTGTGGAGCTGGACCCGGAGAACTGGGTGGCTGGCCTGGAGCAGACCATGCTCATCGTGTTGGTCCTGGGTCGCTGGCTGATGCCCAAGGGGGACATGTCCCGTGACCAGCTCTCCCAGCTCCTCATGGTCTACGTGGGCTTGGGTGCAGACATCTTGGATATCTTCGACACCTTCAAAGAACCCGAGGTCAAAACCAACCGAGCGGTAGTCATGATGGGACTGGGCCTATTTTCTTGGGCACTCATGCAGTTTCCTCTGGTGCTCACCCAGACACAACTCCCAAAGGGGGAGTCTCCAAAGACGTGCGTGTTCTGCCCTGGTGCTCCATCGTGGTTCACTTCCTGCTGCTCCAGTGAAGTGTGGAGCTTGCTTCTCACTGTTGGACTCCAAGATGGCCCATTTCTGATTTACCGGCTTTACCTCATGGTCCAAGAGCAGGTACTCAACCAGCTGATGATCTTCTTCACCTGCAAGAACATCCTCATCGTCCTCTTGGAGCTTTACAGAATCTTTGTGGTGCAGTGCGAGCAGCTGGTTGGGGAATCAGAGTTGGAAAGGTGTACCGCTTTGGTACGCCTTTGTCGAATCCAGAGCGGTAAGGAGGAAGAGGAGGAAGAAGAAGCAGGTGGAGAGGAGCAGAGCTGTCAGACAGACACAGAGAGAGGCATAGAGAGGGAAGAAGATCAGAGTGGTATCCAGGTATAGAAAAGCTCAAAATGCCATGAGGCATGACTTTGGCCCTCGGGGGCTAGGGCGCGAGGTAGGCTTTCACACACCAAGCGAGAGTCGAACCCATCTGCCATCTCTTGCATCTCAGCCTAGCTCAGAGACAGTCTCGGCTCTCTGGAGGGTTCAGTGACTAGAAATAGACCACACGAGAAGAGAATAAGTCCCCACAGAAAAGATCAGTGCCAACCCCTTTGATAAAAACCTTTCCAAAAAGTGGTGTTTCAGTCAGAGGAGGTTTCCAGGGAGAAAAACACCAGCTCTGTAAGTGTCAATCTGTGTGTATGAGGACTGACAGCTGAATCCAAATCTACACGCTTTGTGCTTTCCAGTTTGTTTTAATCAACTTGTATTGACATGATTTCACTGTGTTGTGCACATGCATTTTTTATAAAATTACAGCAAATTTGATGGCTTTGACGGTTGACAATATGGATTGTACGATGATTATGTTTTGCTTGATTAATAAACATTTTCTATTAAAGATTTTCATATTATAATTGTGCTTTTTGATGTTGTTTTCTTTCTCTGATCACCATGAGATGGCAGTGTTGCCAAGTCAACCAAAGCACAATGTTTACTTGACTGGAACATGCTTTCCAGTTAAATAGAAAAAGACCTGTGAGACAGCAACACAGTAGCACATTTGGAGTGTGGAACTTCATCATTTGCGGCTTTATGGCATGACAATCTCCTCTATGAATGTCTTTGTTAGACTTGATAATACAGAATGGGATATGAGATAAATGCATTTTAAACACTCAGTCACCTTTAAGCAGCTGATATAAGTAGGAGGCGAATGAAGAGGTTTGCATGTTTTTTTTCAAGGTTCATTTTCCTCTTGAGCACAATCCACCCATAGAGGCCTGTTTGAGAGCTCAGTGCATTTGTATTATGTCTGAAAAAGCACGCTCGTGATTATGTGGGAGTTTTTCAAGTTCAACATGATTTGCTCTCACTTTCTCTCTTTTGAGAGATGGAAAGGTGCTTTTGAGATATTCCTCCACAGCCCATAAAAGCAAAGGAGTGCCCACAAGGACGGAGAAAATGTTTGAGATGAAGCTCTGGGTCTCAAGGTTTCAAGCCACTTCACAGTAGGGACAAACAGCCGCTGCCGCCGCAGCCCACTCGCCCCCTCACCTCGATCCAGACAATACCTCTCCTGTCAAACGAGTGCCGGGATGTGGCCCTGGTGCATTTATGGATGAACCTCTCATCTGTGTCTGCAGCAAAGACAGAGAGTGGCAATTCAATCCCAGGCCTTTTTTTCTCGTTGTCTTTTATCTGTGTCTATCAAAAAGTCTCTCAAAAACAGCCGACTCTTTGTCATCAATAGAAAGAAAAAAAGGCAGGAACATAAGGAGCCAGAGAGGAGGGAAGGAGCATTTTACTCCCTCCGTTGTACTGTTCGTGCTTTTTTAGGAAAATGCATAGAATATGAGCAAGCTTTCCCAAATCGACAACTGTAGGCTTCCTCCAGAGGATTTGCTGGAGAGCACTACTTTATTTCCTTTGTTTCATCCTTCTGGCGGCATTTCGGTCTAAATAATTGATGGTGGACTTTTAAGAAGAATGAAGAGAAACATTAATGGAGAGTCCCCATAGAGATGTTGATTCTCTCAACATAATGCCGTCTTTGCTCCTAGAGTGCAAGAGAATGCCCAATTAACTAGTCAAGTCGAGTGACATCACGCAAAGCCAAGGCAAGGGCGGAGCTTCTTCTAAGCACCTGAGTTTTGGGAGAATCCGATATTGGCGTGACACCACGATGTGGGCAATATAATTGGGTGATGAAAGAGCCGCTTGCTTGTGAAGAGAGTCCTTTTCCTCTTCAGATTAACTGCATGCTTTAACAAGATTGTGTGGGCATGTGGGAGGATGGGGATGTCAGCTGATCCACGGGCTGCCCTACATAGATAGAGAGAGAGGAAGAGAAACTCAAAGCCTGCAACTCCACTGCACATGGATACACCACATAAAATCAACCCTCACCAGCCCTCGACTGAAAAAGATCTGCTCACACGGAAAAGAGTGATGCTGCCTCCGGGTGATGTTTGAAAGCTCCTACATATACATGTACATCTGATTAGAGCAATTTATTAAGCAAAGCCAATTCCCTGAATGTGATATCCTCTTCTACTAAATATTTCAAACCTGCTAATGTGATCATGTTTCCGAGAACAAAGTGGAATGACTGAACACTGACAACATGTAATTTGGTTGGAGTGACGAAAGTCTTAGTCATGCTCATGGTAGTAAACAATAGCTCTTACATTTCTTTAGTGACACTATGGTACGCAAACAAAATTGCTGCTCTCCAGCTGAGATGGATATGGATAGTTTAATGCTACTTGTTGCACATTCATAATTTCAATGGCAGACAATAAAATACTAAATGCAACATCTTTTTATTATGGTTTGTGGTGGCAGGTATTTATTAATGCACAAGGCATCACCCATTGGTTTGAAAAACTGTTATTATTTGGAACCAGAAGTGACAATATTTGGCTTGGTTAGCAAGGTGCTTCCGAAATGTACTTAACTTTGTTAGCATTGGGATGCTAATTTCAGCTAGCCAAAAAAGATGCTTATCACTAAAAATACAACTGGAAAATATTTTACAGCAGGTAATATTTGACCAGTTAACACTATAGCCTGGTTAAAAAAAAGATATTCCGAAATGTACTTAACTGTGTTATCATTGGGATGCTAATTTCAGCTAGCCATAAACAAAACATGCCTAAAACTAAGGCTGGAAATTGTTGTTTCTTACACGACCATTAGAGGTGCTAAACTTTATAACGTGACTATAGGTCGTAATAAGCTGCTGAACAACCGACCTATTTTGTCGTTTTTTGGAGGCTGTATTATTATGACAATTATTTACAAAATGAACAGCCTGCTGTATTGAAGAAGACTAGAAAGTATCAATTGAGTCAATATTCTTTGGTCAAGTTACTGTTTGGTCAAGGGTAAGAGTTCAGTTTGTTTAAAAAAAACTAATCAAATTGCCACAAATTAAGCGAGACATTGAACGTGGTTTCCCCTTGAAGGTCTGGAGGCAAATTTCCACCCAGTTTTGCGTGGTGAGAGCTTCTATTTTGTGTACAATTAATTAAATTGCACTGCATACTTTGCAAAGGTTAAAACATATATTTGTTCAGTTTTTATTTTATTAAAAAAATACAAATAATATAACAAAAAATTTAGCATGAGCAAAGGTCAAGGGCAGAGTTTAAAAAAAATGTTTTACTCCCAGCAAATCTTCAAGGTAAATCTCATTCCTTTCAGCTAATCTGTCATTCCAAATAATTTACACTGATTATAAAATAGTACAATATTAAATAGCAAGTTTTACCTCTCAGCTTGAAATGATATGTCCCGAAAAGAATGATAAAAGTGATTGCATGCCATATTATGGCATTTTTGTCCCTTATCATGTTTTTCAAGTGCGGTAAACATTGTTTTCATATTTCCAATAGAACGTGAAGGCTGCGGATGTTGTGATGAAACAAAAGAGAGAAATCCACTCAACCTGAGCAGGTGCATTCCTCATGACAGCGTGGAGCGTTTTCACCACATGCCACTATTTCCCTATTTTGTGTCAACTCATCAGGAAGTCCAAACAAACCAAGGTGCACCTCATCAGTCTCACATCCAGCAGATAAACCTGTCAACATGACACAGAAACGTCACAGCCAGAGAGGAGGAGTGAAAAACAAAAGCAAACCTGTAATGCACTTCACAACTTTCTGACAAGCAGCTGAGGATTATCTCATCCCAATCAGATTTCACCAATGGTCATTAGAGATTACCTACTGAAACAGGCAGAAGAACCATCTTGCAATTGTACAAAGAGCACATCACATACTGTGCCATTATTGGTTCTGAGCTTCAAAGGAAGGGGTGAATTCATCAGTGATCAGATCCTTCAAGTACAGTACTTTCAACTAAAGAATAAAAGAAGCCTTTTGTTTTCTGGTCTGTTTTTCTCTGGTCTCTTGTGCTAGTATTATGCAAGTATTTGTACATGGAATTATTTATCACTGTTTGTAGTTTAGGCATAGAAAGTAATGCAATGTAATGTATATGTAACCAACCTATTAGTGAGCCAGACCAGGTGACATAGTATGAAGTCTAAATAGAAAGAAATGTAGGTCGGAAGGTGGATTTTAATGAGGGGCCTGTTGCCGTGTCCTGTCTGAAACCAGAAGTCAGTGTTGAGTAGTTAAAAAAAGTCAGTTTAATGCACAGAATAGGCTTGGCCATTGCTTATATTGCTACACATTTATTTGGTAATACGCACAACAAATACCAAATAACTTCTCTTATGATATCATACAAACAGTTGTATGGTGTTACTTTGAATTAATAACTATTAATTAACATCCAGAAAAGACCAACTGAGAGCTGGATAGTTTAGGAATCATCTAATTTTCGGAAAAGTTTTTCTCAGTTCAACTTCCTGCTAGTTTATGATCCAAAGACAAACCAAAGTTGCAAAACACCCTTAGCTCCCCAGGTGTCTGATAACTTTGACTTGTTGTTTCTCAGCCTTATTTATATTCATTTCATTTTTCTCCAGTGTTAATTTCCTCCATAACCAATGTTATGCAAAATGCAAAAGTCAGCAATGACTGTGAAATACCTTTTTAAACAGAGCATTCTGAATTCCTACCCGCATGGCAGTTTTGGAAATAACTGCTCTGACAGTTAGCAGTTTAGTCAGTCAATCTCAGGCCACAGAGGATGTATTGTTGAAATATTAATTGGCCACTTCCTTTGCCATCCACCAGTTCCCTTGAGCTGGGAGTGCTGCCACTTTACCAACTTCCAATCTATAA